ACAGTCGGGCGTCTTAGCGACACCACATAAAGGGCTTCAAAAGAAATGCCACAGTCGGGCGTCTTAGCGACACCACATAAAGGGCTTTAAAAGAAATACCACAGTCGGGCGTCTTAGCGACACCATATAAAGGGGCTTTAAAAGAAATGCCACAGTCGGGCGTCTTAGCGACACCACGTAAAGGGCCTTAAAAGAAATGCCACAGTTGGGTGTCTTAGAGACACCACATAAAGGGCCTTAAAAGAAATGCCACAGTCGGGCGTCTTAGCGACACCATATAAAGGGCTTTAAAAGAAATGCCACAGTCGGGCGTCTTAGCGACACCACATAAAGGGCTTTAAAAGAAAAGACAGTAAATATCCAGGAGGTAGAACCATCCCAGGGATATTCGATAATACCAATAATATCACGGGTTAGTCAACAATAAAAATAATCATAATTATCACAAGTCACAAGTTGTGATTCCAGTTCGGGTTTAACAGTTTCACCTCCGAAAACCGACACTTGACCCATCCCAGACTGTAATCCTTAACCATGGACATGGCTATTAGAATAGGTTTAATCTCTGCAGAGGGTGTACTCTTTACCCACGAGTAACGGATTCCTTTAGTCCATCAAGACTAATTCCGTCTACGGTCTTTTAAGTGAAAACGCACCTGACTTGCACACACCATCTTAACTTACCGGTGTCTGGAATCACCCACGACACTCGTTAAGCAAAACTCTAAGTGGGGAGGCTACAACCTCGATTAGCATGGGATCACAAAATTTATACCGCGCACAAAACTGGGAAAGCTACCCCCTCGGCTACAACCGAAACACCCATGCCCCCTGACTGGATGACTGGCTTTAATCCATGGCCTTTGTACCCTCATCTCGTCCCCTCTGTACAGTGTGTGCTAGAAAGGGGTCGACAAATTACTGAACCGTACCCTACCTGTGGCAGGGACAAGTGGTAGCACGAAACAAGTGTGGGGGTTACTGGAACAAGACTCGATCTACGGTCGACTCAGGAGGTTTATAATTTCCCTGCATGACATGTATAACAAATATATTTCAACCATCTCAATCAACACTCATTATACCTTACTATGCCATACCGGACATAACCGTCCCGACGGAGACCGGCGACAAGCTCACGCCTACCCAAGGCAGAGCTTTCCCGGATTCCTTTCCGGCATGCATGCAAGGTACATGAGGATGATTACCATCACAAGCATACTTATTTCCAACAGCATGGGAATCACTAATATGTTATATGCATCCATGCAAATGATCATATCACATGAAATAACAAGTCCTTCGAAATGAGGTGGTGTTATAAACGTGTCAACGAGCACACCAAAAATATTATGCCGGGATTCAGAATGCTTGCCTTCAAGTTGTGGGGAGGCAGGGTGCACTCCAAAACCTTTGAAGGCTTTCTCCTCTCTCCAAAAATCATATTTAAAACTATTTTTGAATCAATATATAGTTTCAAAAACAGTACCAAAAAATTGTCTGAATTTTTTTGAAATAAATCTTAAAATAAACTAGACAAAATTTTAAAGAGGACAAAAAAAGAATCAATCAAAAATACTTCTCTGTTTAAAAGTTATAAGGGTTTTAATCCAGGGACCTTTCTATAATGAAATAGAAAACTCTCAGGGGGCAGAACAGAAAAGTGCAGAAAACGATTCAGATTAGAAAGCGCATTTGCCAGAATACGTTTTCAGAAAGCGGTTCCAAAAAAAAGAACAGAGAGGTTGACGGGCGGGTCCCACCCGTCAGGTTTGAATATTCAAAAGAGGCGGCAGAGCTCGTCGGCGCCCGAGAGCTGCGGAGGTCGCCGGCGGCGATCCACGGCGAGGCAGGGGGATCGGGGAGTACCTCCGTGTTCAGTGCATCCTTCCGCGTCGGTGGGTGGTGGTAGTGGTCGCCGGCGAGCACCACGTCGACGGCGGCCCTTGCTCCGGCGGACGGTGGTTCGGGTAGTCGTGGGCCTCGTCGGAGAGAGCTGCTGGGGTCAAATTGGAGTGGGGGTTAGTCTTCTAGAGACGCCATGAGGCTACGGGCAAGCCTAGGGCGGTGGAGGAGCTCTCACCAGCGAGAACGCTGCCGGAGCCCGAGGCGGACGGAGGTAGCCGGAGTTGAGGAAGAAGGGCCCCTCGAGGCTCTTCCAGTGGCTGGGCGGGGTCTGGTAAGGTGGTGGAGGTGTGCGGGGGCGAGAGCGAGCTCGGAGGCGTTATATATAGCCGGCCCGAGGCGGTTGCCGTGAACGGGATAAGTCCGGCGAGCGATTACGGCGGTGCTGTGGCTGGACAGTCGGTTTAGGGGCTCGAGCATCGACTAGACGGGGTAATGGTTCCATCCCGGTGCATAACTCCGCAAGGCAGGGGCGGTTATGGCCTGTCCCCAACGGAACGGCCGTGCGGCCCGTCGGCGGCAGGGAGCGCGCCCTGCGCGTGCCAGGCCACGGCGACGGTGCTGCATGCGTGCGCTGGCAAGGGAGACGGCCACGCGGAGCTCCCAGGTGGCTTGGGCGGTGCCGAACGGCGTTATGCCGCAGGGTGTCTCCCGTTGGTCGCCACGGGAGGTTCGGACGCCACAGAAGACGCCGGCGCAGGCGGGCCAGGGTGCCACCGACGCCAGGAACCAGCCAAGTGCGCGTGCGGCGCTCTGGACAGGGAGGAGGGGCCGTGCGCAACGCGCCAGATCCACAGTTGACGCGTGACTGAATACTGACGAAGAAACGACACTGAAACTCTGAATCTCTGAATATTTCTGAAAGTGCACAGAAACAGTGTCGGCCAAGTGTTCGACGAAATGATTTTGGTATGTGAGAGGTTCTCCTTGAGCTGATATTTGGTGGGGTGGCCTCTCATTGTGTCTGAGGGCTGCCTGAATTTTGGTAGAATTTTTGGAGAAGGGGAAATATGAATTTCACCAAATTTGACAAATCTGGTCCAAACTTGCAGAGGCTGAAACTTAAAAATTTTGAAAAAAGGAAGAGTGGATCTTGATGGTTCTAGGTTGTGGGTGCTAAGGACTATCCAGAGGAGTTGATTTGAGATCAAAACTCAAAGGAAATTAGGTACTTCCTTTGTAAATCACCTAGGCCTAAAGTAATTGACAGAAATGTTTTGGGAAATAAAATAAATGGAATAAAATCCAAAAATGGTTTGGACTAGTTGGAACAGAATGTTAGGGTTGCCCCAAGTGGAAGGAGTGGTCTTGGAAGGATTTACCACATGAGGCATGGTAAAACCATGGGTGGTTTCAATATAAGATAGGTCCCAAAACTCCTAGGGTTTTCTCTTAAAGAAAATAAATCCCAAAAATAAATTTGAGAAGGGGACAAACAGAAGAAAGGTTTTTAATAACCAAATATCAGTGTTGATGAAGATACCAAAATAAAATCCTTGCCAAGGGGGAAAAGTTTTGAGAGGGAAGAGAGTCCAATAAATTTGGGAAGTATTTCACTTGAGGTAAAAACTCCATGATAATAAGAAAGGAAATGTTTCAAAAATCAAAAGTGAGCCCGGAAAAATAAAAGTTTTAATTTCCTGGTAAAATTTTAATATTTAAAACTTGGTTAAATTTTTTGGGTGTTACATTTCCTCTCATGCAGCTAATACTAACCAACACCTCTATTGATTATCTTCTAAAAATCCAGCAATCAGCAGAAAGGCAACTCGTCTCGGGAAAACTCACATTAGTTAGTAGAAGAACTGGAACGGGAGAGGCATGGGCACGATTCATACCTCAGAAAGGAGCTGCGCAATTTGTAGAACGCGCGGCGAGATGTAAGCCTGTAGAACACACTCCACTTCTCTAGAACGGGAGTCGTGCCTACCCCTTCTCCACACCGGCGGCACGGTGGCCGGTACCTCGTCCTTGCGGCAACGCGGTGGCTTGCATCTCCTCCCCGGCGGCGCGGTAGCCGCCACGCCATGGCTGTAGCTTTGAGGAGCTTGGCGCTCATGGCCGTCGCGGGGAACGGGGCGGCTGGCTCCCGCATGGAAGCCGAAGGCGCATCAGGGTGGTCCGCGTGCCTCACCGGATGTGCCCTCCCCCTGCGTCGCCCACGGCCCACCGCCTCTCCCCCCATCTCCCTCTCGCCGCTCCTCTCTGCCCGCACCAAACACCAACTTCGACGGCATCGACGCGCACCAGGTGGATAGGTGGTGACCGCACATCCTCATCGCCCAGCCGCCGCCGGAACTTGCCATGCTCCTCCCCGAGGCCGCCGCTGGACCTGCGGGGCTCCTCCCCGCGCGCCTGCCGCAGGCTTGCCATGCTTCCCACGCGGGGGCGTCGAGGGAACTGCGTGCCTCCTCGTCCCGCGGTCGCCGTCGATGCGCGTGGCGGAGGCGGTGGTCGGGCGGGAGCTAATCTGCGGTCGATGTTGGCAACGACGGCGAGAATGCGCAGCAAAGAGAGCAGAGGTGTGGTTGGGGAAAGGACTCTTGACGATAACCCCCCCTTGTTGGCAAATCCTTGAATCATATGCCCCCCGCCGTTGTCTCTGACATGTGGGGTTTAAGTGACCTGGGGGGTTATCATCAAATCTCCCCAACCCAGCCGATTTAAGATTCGTACTGTAAATCTGACGGCGCAAGAGGCGTTCGGACGGAAACATCAAAACACAGCGCGTTCGGGAGTTATCGATTCCGTATAGAAAATGTTTAACGTCTATTTGAAAATTATCGCATGTATTTGATAAATGAAGAAAAACAAAAAAAAGAATACCAGATAAAACCGATATAGAGAACACACACACACACAAATAAGATCACCCGGAAAATTTGGCATTGCACCATTGCAGCATGACAACGGACAACACAATTCAGATATGAGAATGGGTATTTTGCAGTACAAGCCTCTGGCCGGAGCCCAACAGCCCAAAGTCCTTTCTGCTTGTGTTTCGCTGCTACTCGGTCTCGGAGGAAGACCTACACACATTCCCCCTCGGAAGAAAAGCAGCACACACAGCAGCCGCCGCCGCCGCCGCCCAGAGAATGGCCTTGCCGGCGATCCCCGACGAGCTCCTGGTGGAAATCCTCCTCCGCCTCCCCACCGCAGCCGACCTCATCCGCGCCTCGGCCGCCTGCGTCTCCTTCCGCCGCCTAATCGCCGGCCGCTCCTTCACCCGTCGCTTCCGCAAGCTCCACCCGCCGCCCCTTCTCGGCTTCCTCGACACAGGGCGGCTTCGCTTCCACCCCGCCGTCCCGCCTCACCCCTCCGCGCCCGCGGCCAGGGCCGTCGCCAGCGCCGCCGACTTCTCCTTCGACTTCCTCCCCTCCCCTTGCTCCTCTCGGCCCTGGTCCGTGCAGGATGTGCTTGACGGCCGCGTACTCCTCGAAAGGCCCCGCCCCCGCCGTCGCGAATCTCCCTCCAATGAGATGGTCGTGTGCGACCCCTTGCACCGGCACTATCTCTTGCTTCCCCGGATCCCCGATGACCTAGCCGCTTCGGTTGTCCACGCACAAGGGTTCTGCTACGAAGACTCCTGCCTCGTCCCTTCCGGCGACCACGAGGAGGCAGCTGCGACGGACGAGGCTTCATTCAGGGTGATCTGGATGATGCTGCTCCCAACTAAGCCGGTGATCTTTGTCTTCTGCTCGGGCACAGGGCAATGGCGAACAGTTCCATCACTGACTTGGAGCGAGATGTCGCCTGGCTTTGTGTTATCGACACATGTGTTTTCTTTCCTGAGGCGCCTTTACGCCCATGGCTGTTTCTACTGGACTTCATGCTCCACCGAGAAATTCCTCGCGCTCGACATCAGGAGGATGGAGTTCTCCGTGGCTGTCCACCCACCCTGTGAAAGAAAACCGGGTGAGAATGTGGTGATCGCGGAGGCAGACCAAGGCATGATTCTCATGTTTGTGCCTAAGCCTAACACGTCTCCCGTTATTTATACTGTTTGGCGAAACAATGGTGGGAGGTTCACCCAGTGGCAGATGGAGAAGCCAATCACGCTGGATTCTGGGTCCGGCCTCATGGGTGCAGCGGGGGAGGCATTTGCTCCTATATTATTGCGGAACCTCGTCGGTCGGCCGAAGTTGTTTCACGCGGGACGTTAACACATTCCAGCTCGAGAGGGTGTGTTCTGCATATCCCAAACAGACACACGCATATTGCAACTTCCCACCGTCGCTATTATCGTCACCGACAGTGTCAATTGGTAAAATTTTCTGTTGCATCCCGGTTACCTCCTTCCCTTCTTCATAGCTATCACTGTCACACAGCTTGTTTGATGCTTGCCAGTTTGTCATTGTGATCATAGTTATTGTTTACACTGTTTAGTGAGTGTTGCCTTTCCTGTGCTGCTATTTTTTTTTTGTCTGTTCTGTTTGCCATTCTAAGGTAATTATACAACTGAAAAGCAATGATCTTGCAAACCAATAATAGCATTTTAGTTTTATCTGTAATTGTGAAAAACACTAAATTACAACTATTATTTTGATTTTTATAGCAAAACTAATAGAGGAGTCCAAGTTTTAATTAGGACTTTTCTGCCAATTCACCTTAGAAACATTTATTCCAGTCAACCAAGACCTATCATGTCCACTAGTTCTTTTTGGTTACCATCACACCTATAAATTTATCTCAGTATTATCGATTTCGTATAAAAATTTATCTGAGCTACAAAATTCTTATTTGGTCTGTGGTATGAAATTTTGATCATTCTTGATAGTAAAGTTAAATAAAATATTGAATCACAAAACATTTTGCAAGACAAATAAAATGATATTATTTCATTATGTGCATCTGAACGATCACTGTAATTTTTGTTGTGCCTTATAATGCATATTCCTCAGCAGGAATTTTGCAAAGCAACTGAACTGAGATCGGTAGTACTGTCATGGGATGCTAATGATGGACAAATGTATCATGTAGTACTTTGCCCGTTACATCTGAAAACCTTGTCACTTGGCCGTATCCTTTGATCCTATCCTGCATAAATGAAGTTCTTTCCAAAGTCATCAAGTCAATCTATACAGCCTACTGAAATTTGATGTCTGAATTAATGCACTTGTCCCTGAGAACTACTCTTCTGAATTTTGGCATCCTTGTCTGCACAATTTCTTTTTATTTCCAAATTGTTTTTAGTTCACACCTATATATATCTCCTCTGCAGAACATCTATCTTGAGCTGCAGCTCCGCAAGTTGGGGCACTTTTTTTTCATCTATACTAAGTTACTAAGGTTCCACACAAAAATAAATTCACCCTATAGTGATTTACAGCGTACTTTCTTCTGCCATGCCTGTCAAAAACCCAGCTTTGTTTGCCTGCATGCAGACGTAACCTTTTACATTTTCTCCTGTTGGCAGTGCACTTTTGTGATTCATTCTGCCATTAATCTGTCAAATCAACCCCTCTTCGGTATTGATGTCTGTTCATCTTACAACCAGGATATCATCTTTGTTTAGCGTACTACTGCAATGTAACCTAAGACGCTTCTGCCCGATTGCCATTGTTGCTTTGCTTTCTATGTGCAAATGTTTTTTTTCTCCTTTATAATCATCTTCCTCTTCTTCATGTATGTGCTCCTCTCTTTAATTTCCCTCTCGTCCACACCCTTCCTTTGAAGCATGGAAATACACAAATTGACGATCACTGCAAAATGCTCTGGTTGCAGAATAATTGAGCTTGACTGTACTAATATCATTAACAAGAAATGTTTACAGAACTTTGTTGAATGTTGCGAGTACTTGATTGCTGGATTTGATATCGGGTTCTCTCTACATAAGTTGCCTGCAACTTTCTTAATTCTCAATCACATTACTAAGCTTTTCAATCAACATCTAACCATTCTCATGTGAAGGTCACTTAATATATAACCTAGCTACAGACTATAGTAGTGTGCAACATTAAGTGAAAGTGTCAGATAACTAAAAATTAGCAATAGCTCGACTTAGTGGTGCATCCTTCAGTTTCGCCACCGAAGGTCAAATAACCATTCTTATCTGAAGGTCACTTCATATATAACCTAGCTACAGACTAGTAGTTGCAGACCATAAAAGAGAGTAAGTTCAGCCTTAGTAGTGTGCAACATTAAGTGAAAATGTCAGACAACCAAAAATTAGCAACAGCTCCATTTAATGATGTATCCTTCTGCGTGCAGGCACACACCATGCTGACATCCAGGGAGCGGGGGATGATGTGCCAGTGCCTCAACTACGAGAATCTGACCCTGGAGGCGTGCAACGACTTGTTGCTCCGGCGGCCACCCGAGCTCCGAACCCCTGTTTCGCCACCGAAGGTCAAATAACCATTCTTATCTGAAGGTCACTTCTTATATAACCTAGCTATAGGCTAATAGTTGCACACCATAAAAAAGAGTAAGCTAACCTTTGTAGTGTGCAACATCAAGTGAAGATGTCAGACAACCAAAAATTAGCAATAGCTCCATTTAATTGTGTATCCTTCTGCGTGCAGGCACACACCATGCTGACATCCAGGGGGCGGGGGATGATGTGCCAGTGCCTCAACTACGAGGATCTGACTGTGGAGGCGTGGAAGGACCTGTTTTTCCGGCGGCCGCCCGAGCTTCAAACCCCTTGTTCGTCGTCGAAGGTCAGACAGCTATTCTCGTCCGAAGGTGACTTCAAATAAAACCTAGCTACAGACTAATAGTTGCACACCATAAAAAAAGTAAGCTAGCCTTTGTAGTGTGCAACATCAAGTGAAGATGTCAGACAATTGAAAATTAGCAACAGCTTGTGTCTATTTTCATGATGTATCCTTGTGCAATGCAGCCGCACCCCATGCTGATGTCCGGCGGCAAGCGGGGGACGATGTGCGAGTGCCTGAACTACGAGAAGCTGGCCCTGAAGACGTGACCTTGTGCAATGCAGGCAAGTAGTAATGTTTATGCACATGGCAGCTGTTAGTTATCTGTACCATGATATGATGAGCAATCGGTAGTCTTTCCAAGTAGGATTTATGCCTCCCATCTTGTTTCCCTTCCCAATCGGTGAGGAGCAATAATCATACGCAAGCTATATATAACACACTTTTTCCGTAATGAGATTTGGACCACAAGAAGAATCCTCAATGAAATATCCCAGACGCTCAGACTCTGGAGCAACCGTGCCAATAAGGAGATAGATAGGACCGAACTGATGACCTACGCAAAAATTTGACTGTTATCATTCGAGCCCTGCCCCGTTTTGAATGCATAAGGTAGACAATGGTCTACCTTTTCTTTCAAAAAAAAGAAGATACAGCACACCATTCCCATATCCCAATCACAAATAC